CCCCAAAACCCCAAAACCCCAAAACCCCAAAACCCCAAAACCCCAAAACCCCTCTTCAGGTATTAATCATTGAATCGTAATAAAGCTCTGTTGAGTTATACAATATTAAAACTTAGGATAGCAATCATGACAGGTAGTATCCACTCTAAAGAATGAATATTTGGTGCAATACAAATTGGGAAAATCAAAGATTGGGCGGACAAGAAACAGGGCTAATTAAAGATAATTAATTCTAGTCAAAAGATTTTGTTATTACTAGATCTTAGTGAAAGAAATACTTTTAGAGCAGCAATTTTAATGAATTAATTATACTGATGGTCATACATGTTATGCTTGTTTGGCTGTGATCTGTTGTCCATATTAAAATTTCTGAACTGATTCTGAACAACATGGTTTAATGGTAATGGGTACATTGATGTTGGCGACATAGAATTCATTTGGGGACTTGATACATGAAAATATTGGCCTGGTCCTTTCATGATAATATTCTTAGCTTGAAATCCAGAGCCCATGGGAAAAGGATAAATACTCATGGGCCTGATCGAAAGTACCACCCTCTTGTTATTTGCTCGGAGGTGCAGCAACCGGGTATCCTTGTTTCCAGTGCACTGAATAGTTTGACCCACCAGCCCAAGGAGCCCCTTCTCCATTTTGGCTGATGCTGTTGATATACCCGACTCCGTTCGGAGGACCTCCAGGCTTCAAGCCACCCATCTGGTCGACACTCATAGCTGGGTTCATGTGACTGGCCTGGTTCATCGAGGGGACCGAACCCATGGTGTTCATGTTGGCCATGCCTCCCATGCCGTTGACTCCCTTCATAAGCTGGAAACGATTATAAACCGGCTCCTTGGTCCTTTCCATGACGCTGTTCATGGAGGGGAGGTTCTGGACATTCTTTGGCTCGTAAGTCCTTCCGAAAGGAGTCTGCTCCACAGTCTGGTGGTACTTCAGCTCCGGAGGGCAAACAGTATTCCGATGGTTTTCCTTGCTCTTAGGCGCACTTGTAAAATTAGGTGGTTTACAGGTTTCTCGACAATTCTTCGGGCCCATCGTGGAATTCTTGAAATTGCTGTCTGGCTCTGATTTTGTGGCGAAGTCGGCCGAACTGTTGGCGAAGTGCCTTTTCTTGTCTTCAGTAGGCTTTTGATAGTTTCCAGCAGGCTTTACTGCTTTTGGAGGGATCTCCGGTTCATTTTCTTGTTCTGAGTCTGAACAGGGAGTGCCTATTATAAGAAATCCATCGACTTCGAACTCGTCTTTGTTTCTGAGGCCTGAAGCAGCAGCCTCCTGGAAATTGGAGAGAGCGTGGCTCTTTGCCTCTAGAATCTGCTGGTTGGGGAAATTTGATTTTTCCATCTCGTCGTCGACGTCTTCGAATTGAGAAGAGCCTGAGCTCGATTCCAAGTTTATAAATTGGGCTGGCTTTGCGCCTCTGTTAGTTTGGGCATGAAAGTTTTGATTGTTCATTCTAAACGCAGAAGTAAACACACGAGCAGGACTAAATTTCTAAATCAGTTTGAAATGTCATATATCTCAAATTTATCGGTGTTTCAAATTATTATTAAATTTTTGTCATCACCATAAATCTTAAAATTAAGGATATTAAACTTGCTTAACTTACTTGTGAATAGCTTTGATAGATTCTTGTTGAATTCTGAAGTGTTCAGAGTCTATAATAATTTTATCTCTAAATTTGTTATAAAAAATTGTAATTGCCCTCAAGTCATTAAATTTAATGTTGTTCACTTCAACAGCATTTAATTATCAAAAGTCATCGTTTTGTAAAAAATAACCAAAGTTATAATATTAAATAAATTGTTATAAAATATGGCAATTTCTGGAAATGAACACGAAGACTTACAAAAATTAGCTAATATAATTCTATTATCAACTTATTCAAAACTAGGTGAAGTAAAAGTAGATTATAACAATTATCCAAATTATTTATGTGTTGATTAAAGTAGAATAATTATGAATACCCTCTTTGTATAACCAATTGTTTTGAACTTTACTACAAATAATATTTTCAAAAAATTCTATTATGAAAAAATTTTTGAAATATTTTCGAATAATTATTAACTTGTTCTAAATGGGAATAACAGTAATAATTTTTATAATATTTACGCTCTAAATTATTATTTTACCAAGAAACACTAAATTTATAAGAATGTTCACCTATTTGTATTTATAATACTCCGAACTTCTGAATGGGGGGTCTTATATCAAGAATCAATAATTACCGATATCAGAACTGGGTTTTAATTGGCTATGACTATTAGAAGCCTCACACAATTTTTGTAGGCGAGAAGGGACTTCTCTTTTCACTGTAAAAATTTTCACAAATCCTGATTTTTCTCGTGGCTTGCTCGAAGCATAAAAATTGCTTTCTACGTCTTCAGAGGCAATACTAGAGTCGTCTTCTTCGTTATCGTCCTAAAAATTGAGGTTTGAATAATTTTAACCTTACCTCCGATTGGACATATCGTAAGCGGGAGCGTCTCCTAGTGCCTGGTCTGTGATTACTTCCCTTGGTGATGCTCCTGGTCTGGACCATGGGCCTGGGATCGTATTCATAGTCATCCAGCATCTCTTCGTCGCTGTAGTTGTCGAAGTTCACATAATCGCTATTGCATATATGACCTCTGAGTTGTTTGAGCTTGCGGTCAAGCTCTTGCAATTGATGGTAATCGTCTTGATCGTTTCTGCTTTCAATCAAAGTTCGTTGGAGTTGGGTATCTTCAATCTCCTTGCACCTATTGCAGCCAAGCAAGTTGCTAGTTGAGAATTTCTTGGCCATGCTCCTAGTACTACGTTTTTCCATTGACTCGATTAAATTTATTAATCTCAGCAAGACTGCCATAAAAAGGGGTTTTGGGGTTTTGGGGTTTTGGGGTTTTGGGGTTTTGGGG